TTTTTTTTTTTAGAATTTTTTTTTATACTTTTATTTGCAGTTTAAAACAAGTGCAACAGCATCAACATATTTTACATAATTTCAAATATTCTTATCCTATGTTCTTAAACATATGAAGATGGATTTACAAATGTATACATATAAAAAAATAGATATTCTGTTTAGACCAGGGGTCGGCAACCTGCGGCTCGCGAGACGCATGCGGCTCTTTTGATATCAAGATGCGGCTCTCCAGCTCCTTGCACAAATACTAATAATCTTAATAAAAAAATAAAATATTTGAAATAAAAAAAATGTTAGTGGCTCTTTAAAACCAGGGAAATTTTGAAAATTGTAACTTTTGGCTCTTCCGCTTCAAAAGGTTGCCGACCCCTGGTTTAGACCAATTTTAACATTTATATACAACGTTTATACAGGGTGGAAATAAATAGTAAGTATGTGCTAGTGAAAAATTTGAAGTCGAGTGATAGGAGGGGTCATGGGGACAAAAACATTGAATTGGGGGGTGGGGTATGTGAGTGTTCTGGTGCAGTGGTTTGTATCTTAACAGTGTTTATAGATTGTGTGGTTGCTGAGAATGGGGTAGGGGTGGGCAGGCGTGAAGCAAGCGTGCATGTGGCACTTTTTTTTTTCTTCTCTTTTTTCGCCTCAGACACGTAATTTATAGCGTCAGTTGTGTGTTCGCTTTAGTATTACAGTTTTCATCATCGGCTTGTGAGGACTGATAAAGGTTTACAATAGTAATATTTCTTTCTTACTTGTAGCCTGCTTTCATTCATTTAAGATGGTTTACTTATACATAGATCTACTACAAAACGTCTAAATATAAAGAAAAAAATAAAATTATAAACCAACCTGAAACTGAAAATGCAAATGTGTAATTAAATGATAATTCAAGGGATTTTTTTTTTCTCGGCGTGCGTGGTGGGCTGAGGGGACGGGGGAGGGGGGGGGGGCGGTGGAATTTGGGTTTTTAAATTGAGCTGAAGAAAAAAAAAGGGATTGCCGAGAATTAAAATTATACATTTTTAAACAAAAGAAATAAGCACGAGTCGGTAATTAATTTAACTATTGCATGTTATATCTTATATTCCATACAAATGCATCTTTTTATTGTGAACATTATTTTTATTTTTTTCTACTTTTTTTTTTAAATTAAAAAGTAATTTTTAACATTTTTAAAAAATCCCGCGCAGGATAAAATAAAAATTATCCAATAATTTTTTCCAATAATTTAATACAAATAAATCAATAAAAAACCCTAACCAATTCTAGAAACTAAAGCAAAGATTGTTATGTCCCTTGGGCTAATCGTAAATAATAAATCCATCACTTCGGTGGTTCAGCGCAGAGCATTGTCTCCCTCTCCCAGATTTACAGATGAAATTATCTCCCTTGTGTGTGCACGATAAAATGTGAAAGACAAGCCTTGGGTGATTTCAAATTTCAATGCAACCCCACCAAAAGTAGTTCGTCTTCCTGATAAACGTCTGACAATGGACGGACCCAGGAGAGGATTGTGTCATTAACTTTTTAAAATCCAAGTGTATTTTTAAGTCATGTTTTATCGTCGTGAGGATAGTTTCTTGATAGACGACGCGGGGAAAAAAATGATATCAGCTTCCGCGTTGGGGTAGAGGGTGGGTGTGCAGTGGTACGGGGTGGTTGGATGGTAGAACATATGACTGCTAAATCAGAAGTCTCGAGTCCGAATCCCGCGGTTTTGTCAATGGAGTGAATACAACACTATAGACGGTCAGGCGCAGACCTTAATTGTGGTAGAGCTTAAAAAATTAATTAACCTCCAGTAATAAAAATGATTATCATTTTAAATGCTCTGATACCGTTTAAAGCAATACATGACTATTGAGTCCACTCAGTTCTAATGGGTACCTAACTCACGTTAAGGAATGTAAAGGCGGCTGGATATTGTTCTGACCCTCAGTTTATTGAGAGTTATTGGCCGGAGTGTGGGGGACTGCTAGCCAGTGATAGGCTTGAAATTTTGAGCAAGATACTTTAAACTAATGTATTTAGAACGATACATTTGAAAAGAAGAAATAATTATAAGACTGTTAAATTGTTAAAAATGTTAAATTGTGTATAGTTAAAGTTAGCAACATATAGTGAAGTGCCGTGTAGCAAACTAATAGTAATATATAGTTCGAACCTTACAATGCATTGGGCAGGTGAAGCAGAGTTAACCTATTAGAGCTGGGTGGACTCAGGCATGTGTTAGGGATTCAAGCCCGGGATTCGAACTAGAGACTTACGAGTTAGTACTTGAACGCTCAACCGTTCGACTACACCTTAAGAGATACCTCACTTAATAACGTGACGTTACAACGTGACATAGTATACGTGACAACTGTAACGTGACACAGCGGCGCGTGATCTAGTATTTAACAGGGTAGCAGTGTGCAACATTCATGACTACCCTTGAAAACAGTGCTGGAAACTTTTCTGAAATAAAAATGTTTAAATTAACTCCCCTGGGAAATCATTAGCGAAACAAAAAAAAACTTTAAAAAACAACAAAAATAATTCTCAGTTGGTGGAGAGAATAGAAACGTTGCTGTCTTTCGTTTCTTTTGTTCCGGTGATAGTTTTGACTGTTTTCCTGTATTAAACATTGTCAAAGAGTACCCTACCTAGCGCCGTGACCGTCAAACTCATTAAATCTACACAAATAGAAACCTCTTTCGTTGCTATTGTTCCGATGACATTTTTTACTGTTACCTTTTATTAAATCCACAAAAATAGAAACCTTTAGTTGCTTAAAATATGTGTACTATTGCAAGCAGGCCAATGGGCTTTCTTGGTATTATTTTTGGTATGTATTCGTTTATATAATAGGTTGATGTCTTTCTATCTATGTAGATGTAACTAGCTTAACCCAAATAACTTTGTTCAGTTCAGCTTTTTTGGGGTATACAAAGAAAAGTGTTAATTCCCTTTCCAATAGTACCAAGACTAAATTAATAGTGTAATCAAATTTCTTAAATGTGAACATTAAAACTTTTTTTTTGTTCAAGGCAAAAATTGCCGACAGTCAGATATTGCAAACCAGTAAAGTTCCCTTTTTTTGAAAATGACGGTAATTTGGTAAGTGAAGAAGAGTTCACTTGTTTTTGTGACCTCGGTATATGAAGAGATAGTGTGGTCAGCACATTGCACGGCTGTCTTTACTTCTAAAGTGAATTGGTTGCCATGAGCGGGTAGACTCAGGGACGTTCAACTGACTTAAACTCGGATTCGAATTCGAGATTTTCGAGTTAGCAGTCTAGCGCTCTACTTCTAGGCCACGCAGTCCCTACTTTTGAATGGGTTTTTTATAAAGGGGACAGTATCACCCAATCTAAGGGAGAGAAACAAAATAATTTACCAAAAAAAACAAAAAAAACTATTAGATATCCACCTGTCTAATTTTTACTGTGAATATACAGCATATATTGTGTGGGGTATAGCAACAACTTTCCTACAAATAAATGTACTAATATTTCTATTTTCAAAATATATTGTAAACAATTTTTCTAAACCATACATAAAGTATTTAAAACTAGGCATTAAGTTTCCTTACGTGACAATATTATGAAATAAAGCTTAAGCAATCTAATGCTTTAGAAAGTATCTTGTATTAGATCTATGTATAAGTAAAACAATGACAGCACTCAAACACATATACCGTAATTAACAACACCAAAACGTAAAGAACATATTACACTGCTTTTGCCACCTGGAACGCCTAATCGAACTGACACATCCCCCTTTCATCACACCCTCTCCGCCCCCCCGCCCCTAAACCTCATGATCCCAATATCACATTTCCCCTCAAAACTGCATCCCCTCGTCCCTATCACCACCACCCCTGTGATGAAGTACTATGTTAAACAGTGACTGATGTATTATCCAAATACATTTCTAACAACATCAATGTAACCCCCAACCCCCATGTCCCCACTTCGTGTCGCATCATTTATCATTTGGCATTTCATTTCCCTATTGTTGCTTTTTGTGTATTGTTTAATTTATAAAGCTTACAAACATTGTAAAGCTATCATTTGTTACTATATTACTATTATCATATATGTAAGGTACTTTGGTCCACAACGTACAAACGACCCCAATGACCCGTACTCCTCTTGTATTCATTGTATTATCACCAAACTAACACTTACAGTTGTTTCGTTAACTTTACTAACTCTTTTATGTGAACACCCTTTTTTTATCTATAAAACTCCACTGTATCCCTACACGTGATAGCTACACGCCTACACACCCCTAACCTGTCGGTACTAAACATTCATCTAAACATAAACACCGACTTGAACATACCAACCTTCCACCCTCCTACTAATTCGCTCACACAGCAATCTGTTCGTCAAACCCTCCCCCCCCCCCCCACCCACACACACTACAAATGGAAACACCTCAGCAGTCAGATAACACAGCACAAAATTTGACGCTTGGCTTGCCTTAAAACACGCAGTCACCCTCTCCACGCCTCGTCAGACACATCTACCCACTCCCCCCTCTCCCCCTCTGTCCACTTACCCTTAGACATGAAAACACCACTTTCCCTTTAACTTTTCCAACGACCCCACCACCCACCCCAACATCAATTTCGAATATCTATTCATTTACTTTTTAAAGTTCTAAATCTTGTTTCTTTCCCCTCCTTTTTACACAGCAACCTTTTGAAAACTCAATGCGACCAGTACATAAATAAACACTCTTTTAACTAGTCAACTTATTTTGTTTCCCTACATTGAAAATGCTCCACTGGCCCTTTGTCATTCTCGAAAAAATATCCTTTCCACTCCCCACCCAGACTTTTGACACGTTTATTTGACCTTCACCCCTTTTACTGCCATCTTTTGTAATTTTTGTTATAAGCATATACATGACATCATGTTAATATTCTTTATGTCCATGTTTAAAAACCTTTCGTTTTCTTTTGAAACTATGTAAAAAAAAAAAAAAATGTGATGTTGATGTACTTGTTTTAAATTGCAAATAAAAGTATTAAAAAAAAAATAAATAAATAAATAAATAAATAAAGGGACACATTTCAAAACCATCAAAAAAAATAAAATAATAATTACAGGCTCCCAGACAACCAGCTCTGGAAGAATTTCTACAGGGGCACAGGTCGCCCCCATGGTTACCCACCTACTTTGTGGGATGCCTGGGTTGAGTGATCTGCCCTTAAATCACAAATGTAACGAGTTGTGTGGTAATAAGCTATGAGCCCAAACCTAAATTTAAAAAATTCAAATTTGTGTTTATCTGTCCCGTCCCAAGCATTAACTTTTCATTACAAGGTAATAATCAATATATTTATTAGTATATTAAATAGTGAAAGTAAAAAAAAAAAAAAAAAAGTAAAACATCTGAAATGAATGAAAGCAGGATACAAGTAAGAAAGAAATATTACTATTGTAAATCTGTAAGTCCTCACAAGCCGATGAAAAAAAAAAGTGCTCACAAGCCGGTGATGAAAACTGTAATACTAAAGCGAACACACAACTGACACTGTAAATTACATGTCTGAGGCAAAAAAAAAAAAAATTTAAAACATTTAAAACATTTCAAAGTTAAAAATTTTAGCACAATAAAAATCTGGTAGTTTCAGCTGAAGTTAACCATGTTATGCAACTCTTTGATTATTCTCAGCAACAAGGGCCTAAATGTTGAAAACCGATGAAACAGTCTCCCTTATACAGTGATTTCAAAACATATAAACAGTTTGAATACATATTTCACCAACGCGATTGTTTAACTATTGTTGTTTATTGTTTAACCCCTATTGTTTATCTATTGTTGTCTACTGTTTAGCCCCCTTTAACATACCTCACATTTCTACACCAAAAGAAGCCGTGTTGTTGGTAAAACTAGGTCGGTCTTCCTAAAAAAAACATCTCTTAAAGTGTACTTTAATTTAATAATTAATAAAGGTTAACCCCTATCCACCAAGTAATTAAAAGGTAGGTCACATCAAGTTCAAGAACAAACAAAAAACTTCGTCAAAAAAAAAAACAAAACCCACCCATAATTACTGGTTACATAAGACATAAAGTACATACAAAAATTAAATCCCTCATTAAAGCAATTTTTTTTCGACTTGTATACGCAAGTAATAATCTTAGTTTATTAATATTAAACCCTGACGTCGCTATTTTTATAATTAAAGTCAACCCTGGTAAATCAATATTTAAAAAAAAAGATAGAACCTTCTTCATATAATAACCAGGTTTAATATAAAGTAACTAAAGACTCCTGGGTTTCATAGCAAAAAAATAAAAAAAATGAAAGACTAAATTTTATCTTGTATTAAGATATTTTAATGAACGAAAGATAGCCATCAACGCAATAAATAGGATGAGTAAAAAATGTTTTAAAAATTGTAAAACATTCAATAACCCATACTAAGTTTATCTTAATGAGAAAAAAGTATGCGTTATACAATCTCTGTGTACTAGATAAAAACGCTTTAAAAAAATTAAACAGAGAAAACGGTGATTATTTTTTTATTTAAAAAATGATAAATAATTAAAAGCGTATTCGACTGATAAATAATAGTAGTTTTTTTAATAACGCTAGGACTAGGAAGGAAACGAAACAAGACTTCCTTCAGGGGAAGTAAAAACGTCAGATCAAGGGGAGAGAAGAGAACTCGATCTACTTCCTCGCACCGAAATGAACCTTGGCCACATTTGTTTTTTTTTATGCCATCATAATTGCTGTCAGTATTTGTGTGTGTGTGTGCGGGAAAAGGGGGGGGGGGGGAGGCGGAAGGGTAGAATGGGGGTGGGGGGGGGGCGTCACTCATACAAAAAAAATAGGCCTAACAGTAGGTATAACAGTCTAGAACTCGTCCACTAAAATTTTACAGCGGATTTATATTTACGATCGAAATGCTTAAGCCAAAGGCCCATATTATATTAAGGGGACTTAGGTATTAGTATTTATCTCTGGCTAGGGGAACATAACTCTCGAATTAATCTCCCCTGGAAGACCTACCCAAGCGAGATAACTCTGACTGAGTTTCACACGAGTGCTGCCCCTTTCACTAAACCGCCCACTACATTTTCCTCTAATTTCTACAAGGCCGCACAGTGCGAGCCGGTATGGAAATGTATTACACATAATTCATTTCCTAATCTGTGATAACGGGGGAATGAACGCCGCTAGCTGAGGTCGACGTTCGGCGCGATTTCCGCCACGATTTCCGTTGTCTTTGAAGTTTTTTTTTTGTTAGTTTGTTTTTCTTTTTCTAGTGCGGTAAGGTTTCATGACTTAAGTTATGTAGAGGTGAAGGCTAGGTCATTAGATATTACAAGTGTAGGCGGAGCACCCCCCCCCCCCCAACCCGAAAAACTTTATCTCCAACTTTGTTAAACTGAATCTTACGAATATGACAAATGCATTTTTTCTGGAATGGTGATGCACGCTAAAGCTACCCACTTTCACAATGGTTTGGGCTTCATTCCCATTCTCAACATTTTTTAAATTCTTACAAGCGAAAATACATGGTTGTACTATTACATCGCTATCCATCGAAAATAGCGTAAAGTACTACTTCCGGTTAACAGAATGTACTCAAAATTTGACCCAAGTTATAGGCTTTTGAAAAACTAGAAGTAGAATAGTTTCCACATCCGGCTACCGGAAATCGCTGAAATGTTGATACAGAACAACAAATTTGATGTAATACTTATATATGAAATACCGTCTACTCAGCCGTAACGATGCTTAAATTATCATGTTCACAGACACACACACACACACACAGAGTGAGAGAGAGAGAGAGAGAGAGAGAGAGAGAGAGAGAGACACACACAGAGCCAAGACTGCAAAATTTTAAAAAATCGAGATTTGTGAAAATCTCGATTTCTGTTTTTTTCGCACGATTAACTATTTCCTCAATACTCAGTACACAAGAGGTGGAAAAAGAAGTGTTTTTTTTTTTTACAATTTGTAGTTATTTTTGTAAACTGCACTACTTTAAGAAGTACACATTAATAGCAAAAATATAAACCTAAAACGCTGACGTCAAATGTAATTAGTTGAATAATTTAAATTAAACTAATTGTTCCGACCATGTTCATACTAAATGTAAATACAAGGCAAGACGCAGGGTCCTAATGTAGACTGAAGGCCATTTAAAGTCCATGTTTCATTAAGACGCAGGGTCCTAATGCAGACTGAAGGCCATTTAAAGTCCATGTTTAATTAAGTACACCAGACGGTTGATTAAATCATGCTTTATAAAATCAGTTAATTACTTAATTAGTCCTAGAATGTTCTGGGAAAAACCAAGTCAACATATCTTCAAGAATTTTTTGATAGCTGTTCTGTTGAGGTATGGTTGAAAAGAGGGTCAGTTTGTCTTTTTCATTATTATTATCCTAGGAAAACTTTAAAATAGGCTGAAACTAGAACAAAATATATAACAATGTATTGACAAAATCAACGTGTTAATTGTTCCTTACAGAATGATTTTCGTGTAAACATAAAAGTAAAATTAACGTTGATTTATAAAGGTGGTTTTAAATTTTAAACATTCAAGCCTTGCTAGCCCTCTATACAAAAGGGTGTTTTTTTATGTAAACATACCTAGCATATCAGTGCTTCTACATAAACATAATTTTAAACATATACATATAAACCATTTCAGCCTTTCAACGAGAATCCCTATTTTAAATGTTCACATACAAACAATTTAGTAGGACTGCGTGGTTGGAGGATAGAGATTACGACTGCTTACCCGAAAGTTTCGAGTTCGGATCCCGGGTTTGAGTATGAAGGTCTTTCATGAGTCCACCCAGCTCTGATGAGTACCTGTCTCATGCTATGGAAACAAAGGCGGCTAGGCATAGTGTGATACACTATCAACCTCTATGTTGAAGCCATTGAAACAGTTGAACTCTACTTCATCTGCCCAATGTGTCTACCCAGCTGGACACCGGACTCACGTTTGACAATGTAAAGACTGATCATATAACTAGGTCATTGAAACAGCTGAACTCTACTACACTTACCCAGGGAACCGTCAGGTTTGAGTTTTGTACTTTTTACACAACTAAGCTATACCTGCTACCAAAACCATTATTTGACATATAAACATACAAACTAGATTAGCCCACCAAAAGTGCATCACCCTACCCCCACTATCTGTCATATAATATACATCACAACACGCCTACGCCTATGTTGTGATGTATTTCCGGTGAGTGCTTTTATTTACGTTATTTTGAACAATGTTTTGGTGCACGGCACGTTACTCCACAAAATCGATACATCAATGGACATAATTGAAGGCATTGCTTCATGCCAGATAAAAATGGCGTCCTTATGTTATGGTGGCCGTAAAACAAAAACAAAAGAATTAAGAGCGGGTTTTTTTTTATATTTTTTTTTTACTTTTTAATTTCTCGTATAAGTGTATAGAGGAAGTCGTATCTACTCTAGTTCTGGTTTATCAAAAACATGTAATAAAATTTAGGTGAAGGAAATTTCACATTTAAGTATTAAATTGTATGCGCAGGTTTATATCAATTTATGAACGATATCCGGTAACCGGAACTTGTACAAAGCCTAATTGAACTGAAAGTGCCATTCCCCTTACCGTTATATAAGAATATATAAGAAAGTTTTATGGAGATCACTGTAGCTTTATTGTATACACGTCTTATAAAATTCCCCCAATGTATTGAAAATTGAGAAATTTTATATTCGATAATTAAAAAAAAAAAATTTAAAAAAAAAAGATGAGGCTAACGGCATTTCAAGAAGCCATCGTTTTCCATCAGAAACAGGTGAAACAGTCTAACAACCAATTCATAAATGAGCTAGGCAATGTGCAGGTTTATTTTAATTCATTTTTCCTGCAGTTTTAAATCGTCCCTTGATGGAATATGGAGCAAAATAAACAAATAAACAGATGATAAAATAAAATAAAAACACGTGATTTCTATCAGCTGTTAATTACATCGCAACAAACACGACCAAGGCTTTGTCTTTTTTCACCATCAAAATAGAAACCTTATTTTCAGTTTGCTGAGGTAATTCATTCGGAAAAAATTGCGAATTTTAATGTTCGAAGCAAACAACATCTATATCTAAACAAAGGACAGGTACTTAAAACAGAAACACATTGCATTCATGAAAAAAAAAATTCTCCTGAAAACACTTACATGTTTATAT